AATATGTATTATTATTTATTTGTTATATTTATTTTAGCCTTTTTGAGATAATCCTGGTTATTATTTGTTATTTTTGATTTTATTTATTAGAAATAAATTCTATTTTGTAAAAATCATAAATGACAATAAGTTATCACATGAATGAATCATTGTTTTGTAAGGAAATGATATTAATCAATTCATTCTTATATGAAAAAATATATTAATATAGTAAATAGTAATTTAATAAAATAGTGATATCCACATATAATAATAATAATTTTAATTAGCTTTACAAATTGAAAATTTTAATCCTAACTTTTTCAGATGATAATTCTACCGGCCAATCAAAAATAAAATATCAACAATACACTGAATGATTTTATAAAAAATAACAAGATAAAATTATCATTAATCGGGTCAATAAGCGTTTTGAGCATATGTTATCCAATTGACAATATTGACAATAAACTGCACGTATTTTTTCCCATCAGAGATCGGTTCACCTTTAAACCATTTCCGATGAACCTCTTTTACAACCAGAACATGGCAGTAAAGTGATCTCCATTTTCGATAGCTCAAGATGATTAATCTCTCAACGCGATGTGTGTGCTTATACCTATACTCTTTGGCAGGAAATGATTCCAGTAATTTAGCCTTGTAATTCATTTTTTTTTCCCATTGTTTAGACGCTGATCAACGTTCTTACATTGTCACCCAATTGTTTCGTTCTTCACTTGATTTGGACAAAATTTTTATTCCTTACTTTTTTCATTTTCAATTCATCACTAGTTCCATATCAGTAAAGAATTAATTTAGATTTATCAATTGGAAGTGTTAACATCCACAATGATACGTGAAAACCAAATACAATATTCAATATCAATAAAAATTGACACAACCAATGGATTGATGATTTCTTCACGATATCTAAATTCACTAGCTTTAGCATCATACAACAAACTTCGTTTTCTTGCCAATTCTATAGACCTATTATAAAAAATTTTTGACTTTTAATGTTATGCTACAAGTT